CGATATCATTTTTTGGTCTTTACCGAACTTGCGGAAGAAAGGCGCGAAAGAAGAGAGCGATTGTTAGGGGGCAAAATGAAGTTCGATTGGAGATGAATCACGACACTTTTTGGTTTCACTGCATTTTGAAGTGAAAAATTAAATTTTTGGTTGGAGATGGCCTAAGGAATCACTCCAAACTCCTCTACTCGTAGGCGTCATCTTCTTTCAAATCCACTATAAATAGTGGCTCCTAAATTCTCTTCACAATTTTCCCCAAAAAAAAAATTCTCTTCACAATCCCCAATCTTCATCAAATCCGAAATCCCTTCTTTAAATAGTAGTAGCCCATCTCTTAGCTTCCATCACCAACCGCCTTCTTCCGCCGCCGAGATGAAACTCTTCTACTCCCGGTTCCTCGAATCCTGCTGTTCCAACAAAGATGCTGCCTTTTCGCCGGTCAAACTCAAATCCGGCGACATCGACTTCCACTCCCTCCGCCACCAATACAACCTTCCCTTCGCCGGCTTTAACCACGCCGTTAACGCCGCTTCCGACGATCTCTTTCCAGTCCGCTGGTCCAAGGACGACATGCGGCACTCAGATTCCTACTTAAGAAGTGCCGGCGCCTCCCCTCGCTCCAAAATCGACTCTGCCGACAGCGAAATGCCGTGGAGTAGTAGTTACTCCATGTTGGAGTCAATGGAGAGCTTGGCGGTTGTTAAAAGGTCGGAGAATCCGAGGGCAGATTTCCGGCGATCGATGGGGGAGATGGTGATGCAGAAGGGGATTTATAAGGTTGCCGAGTTGGAACAACTTCTTCATTGCTTTCTCTCTCTAAATTCTCATCATCATCATCTTACCATTGTCAAAGCGTTTGCTGATATGTGGGAGGAGCTCTTTCCGGTCACTCCCGACGGCCGCCGCAACACTGGCCCGACCGGCTGCCAAGACCCGTAATAGAACACCATCTTGAGGAACACAAATCATGAGACATATTCAAGTCGGAAACTTCCAAGATTAAATTTGAGATGGTCTGAACTTCAATTTCAACAAATATATAGTCAAATTGAGCGACTCAGCGAGACGAACCCAACAACATCAAAATCGGTCTGATCCGAACTCAATGAGTCCAAATCAAAGGACTGAAATACATTTAAAATGTTTAAAGCATAAATTGGATGACCAAATAATATCAAAATATAACATGATTATAATCGAATTGATCAGCTAGACGAGACGAATCCAATGAGCCTAAGATCCCTTAATTTTGCCATCATTATGGCACTTAAATGCTTGATGAATTCTCTATGATCAAGAGAATCAGCCAAATTATCCACTCTGATTTTGCCATGAATTTTCTCTATATTTACGGAGCATGTCCCTCACAAAAATCTATAAATAGGCCCTTGCTCTCTTTATGAAAGTGGGGGCTTAGACATTTGAAAACTTGGACTCATGGGCCTAAAGAATAGAGAGAGCTCTAAGGCTTCAAATATCCTAGAGTTCTACCTAGCACCACCGTCAGCAAATTAGAACATAAGCATATTTTATTTTTCAAGAGTAATTTTTGGAGGTGTCCTCAAGTTAATTAACCTCAGGTAGCCTAAACCCTTCAAGATGTCGATCAACCTGTATTTTGTATTCAACTTAAGTTGACTTTATTCTGCTTATTTTTATGTATTTTTTTATCATTTTGAGATTTTTTTGGGATAGTTAGATCGATGCCCACTTATGACATCGCACATAGCAGTGATTCAACTAAGATTTCGTTTGGGACAGCTTTCTTACTGCTTCTTAAGACAATTTTTTGACTAGAAATTTGTTTTAAAAAGCAATAAAAAAAGTCATCCCAAACAAAACTTTTGTTTTTATCATTCTATGAAAAATGTCATTTTTATTAAATTTGATGGTCGACACTTTGCAATGTAGCAATCAATTAACTATTTATCACTAGCATACCCAAATGCATCTCCAAAGACTTACCAAATCTCTCTTGCAGGAGAAGGAAGATTTGAATTCTTGCAAGCATGAAGAAATAAGGTTTGTACTGTAATTTATAACTAACTATATCTGCATGTTTCTTCTTGTTGAAGAAGAATGTGGATTTGTTATGTATATTTAGACGCTCACCAGGTGCTCGACCTTTTGCTCCTTAGAAAAATTATGCTATTTTAGTATTTTATAGTTGTTGTTTAACATTTTTTTTCCAAATTTGAAGCTTATGTAGAATCTCATCTCTTATCAACAAGATTATATTATCAAAATATAAGCCAATTGTTAATATGTTGGATAAATTACAACATGTGAATCACAGAACAGTTGTTTCAGAACTAAGAAAGAAAAGGTTTAATCACTTAAAGATGTCTCAGTAATGCAGCTTTGCAATCACATATAATTTTCAAAAAAAGAAAAGGTTTGACAAAAAGCTTGTTCAGCTGCTCATCTGCCAATGCTTATTTCTTTGACCTTACCTCCATTCCCTCACTTGTGGTTAAGTAATTTCACACTAAATCTATTTATTCAGAGGAGTAGGAAGCTCTTTCAATTTTAGGCTTTCTTCGGGATGACTTACTTACTGCTTCTTAGAGCAGTTTTTTAGCATAAAAAATTTGTGTGCTGAGAAGCTGCTCTAAGAAACAGCAAGAAAGTCATCCCAAATGAAATCTTGATAATTTGTGTGCTTGTTTGTCTAAGTGGAAATTTGACGGTCAATTAAAGGGTCTTGGATTCAAATTTTGCCTATGTAATGTGATGTGTGTGTGAGTTTTACTTAATTGCTCTAAATATCTCAAAATAATAATAATTATTCCCTCTAAACATTTTTACTATCTTTTTTTTCCTCTTCTTTTATTCACCTGCAAAAGTACTGTAGCAAGTTGACCATAGAACGGGCAATACACAATTATTTTTTAAAATTTTAAATCAAATTTATATTTTTTCAAATGAAAAAATTAATTAAATTTAATCAAAATAACCTCACAATTAAGAAATCAATCTTCTTGT